ATATCATCAATTTTGGTATCAAAATTAAATAAAAGAGAACTTGGATTAAAAACAAAACAAGAAAAGAGAAAAACGAAATATTCATTAATTTATTCAAAATCTTTGATGTTTGATTTTTAATGGGACCGCCCTCAATTATTGGACTTTCTGACAATAGCGTAAAAAATAAGAAAGAGGGATCAAAGGCGATAAAAGAAAAAGAAAACAAAGAATTTTCGTTATTTAACAGAATTTCATCGGAATTTATTTTTGACAAGATTGCTTTATTTTTGTTATTTTCGATAATGGAACTAAGAAATAAGGAAAATAATTAAAAATAATAGAACGAGAAGGAAACCCACGATTATCTGATAATTAACTAATTTTTACTTGGTTATTTGCGAGGGGTGCGCCACATTGTTCCAATCCGGGTGTTGTGAGTGAGTGTGGGATGGATGCCTGGCGCGGGATTACCACCGGTGCTATTTTGCCTGGGCTTCATTGCTTGGGTGTTACCGCTGGGTCGATTCGGGCACGGTACTCTGGTTCGGGATAGGCTCGGTATTATTACAACGCATTGTTGCACGGTACGGCACCCGACACCGAGCGGTATGATAATAGTGCAGGCGGCGGTAAATCAGAGCGTTTCTTCGGAACCGGCATTGGAACGCTTGCTGGAACGGCACTGGTATGGGACTATTATCGCAACGGCGTTGGCATGGGCGCTAATGCAGATTGGCACAACTATTGGCTCGGCATCGACACAAACTGGAACAGTATAGGACTATTTGACCTTGGTATTTGATGGTCCGGCGCTCTGATTTGTTTCAGGGCTGCTGCAGTTCACAGTTCGCTGCATTGATAGTGGCACAACACTGAAACAGAGTACTACAGCCTGCGCTGTTCTTTTTGGGGTTCGGAGACAGAAAAAGGTGCAGGCACGTTGCCTGTGACGTTCTGGCTGTGATTCGGTACTTCGACCTTGGAATGGGCACCAGTTGGCTACTTACACAGTCCTGGGACGGCAGGCCATGGCCCGGACCTGCTGGGTTTAGAAATTGGTCACTGGTTTGCCGTTGGAACAGCTACCGCAATGGACCAGGGCGCGATGACCGGGCCTGGATTGACGAGGGCAAGAAATTTTCTGGGCCTGGAGCATTATGGCTGAAGGGACTGCGACCCGGACCGAGTCGAAGCAGGGCAGTTGGCCACAGACAGTGGATATAAGGGAAGTAAACGGGTACCAAGGGGCGTTTTCGAGGATGCGTGCCAGGCATACCCAGCATCCCGGAAGTTGACTGAGAGAGGAGTGACGTGACACAAGGAAGCATGGACAGTGTCCTCAGCCACCGCTGCCAACGCTGGCTGAAGACGACAGACACGGACGGTGAACAGCGGCGGGTGCAGCGAACGTACAGTGGTTCCGTGCTGCCGCAGTGAGCGAGTGTGTCGGAACAGCGGACTAGGGGAGTGCAGCGGAGATGGTGCCTGCTCGTGCCGTTCGCGGGAGCCAGCGGAGGATGAGCGTTGGTTGATTGGTTTGTACTACAACAGGATAAAGAAGTAGAAAGGAAGGTAATAGTTGGCGTGCATTGAAGACGAGGAGCAGGAGGAAGAGAGGTCAAAAGGTCAAGAGGAGCAGAGAGAAGACCATTGTTGTGTGACTAGAGGTTACCATATAAGTGAACTTTGTCCGTGCTACTGTGGGTGGCTGGTATTATCCTATGCTTGTTCGATTGCTGAGGCCGTAGACAGAGACTTTAAGTAAAAAAAAAAAAAAAAAAAAAAAAACAAGCGACGCGCCGTGCGAAGTGCCCCTCTGGGGAGCTATAACAGGTCAGACTGACGACAGTCATCAGTCCTTGCAAGTGCTGCTGCCATGGGGGGGTAGGTAGTGCTCGAGGTGTCAGCAAGGGCACAAGGAAGGACAGAGCGTGTGTGTGTGTGTGTGTGTGTGTGTGTGCATGTGTGTGTGTGTGTGTGTGTGTGTGTGTGTGTGTG